GATCTTCTAAAAAATGAATTTTTGCTAAAGTAAAACTGGATTTCTTATATAGATCCATTTTTTATCCAGTAAAAAAAATGAAAGTATGTCAGATCTTTTAAAAATTATTTTTACTCCAGCAATAAAAATGGATTTTTACTAAAGTAAAACTGGGTTTTTTGTATAAATCTATTTTTTATCCAGTAAAAAAAAATGGAAGTATGTTGGATCTTTTAAAAACTGTTTTTATTCCAGTAATAAAAACAGATTTTTGCTAAAGTAAAACTGAATTTTTTGTATTGATCCATTTTTTATCCAGAAAATATTTCAGATAAAAAATGAATCAATACAAAAAATCAGATTTTTGCTTGATATGTTAAAAAATTTTTTTTTACAGGATAGCACTATATATCTCATTCTCAAATACTATTATCATTTCTAGTTCTTATATATGAAAATATTTAGAAATGGCTAACAGTGATTATATTCATAATAGATTTTAAATAAAAAAAGATATAAATGATGAAAGTGAATAATTAACGATAATGAGCTAACAAAAATATGAGTATAAGATAAATGTTTATGTATGTTTAAATAATAAGAAGACAATATTAAAACTAAATATATGCTATAAATTAAAGTTAAAAAGTATATTGATAAAATAAAAGATAATATAATAACAAGTAAAAACAACAAAAGTAAAACAAAGATAAAATAAAAGAAAAACAAAAAAAAACAAAAGAAAAATAAGACACAAACAAACAAAAATAAAGTGAACAAAAAAAATAAACAAGAAAAGTGAAAAAGACAAAACAAAGGTTAAAATCAGAATATAATCTTTTTAGTTTATTTCAAATTAATTTTCATGTTATATATATAGCAAATTTAAGTTATGCTAATCTATATGTTATTTATATATATAAATTACAAAATAAAGTTAATAAAAGTAAAAATTTATAACATGTTAAAACATGATAACTATTATATAATATTAAAAAGAGATTTGTATAAAATCTATATATTGCTAATTAAATTAATATAACAAGAGATTAAAATACAATACCAATAAGATTTAAAATATAAATTAATATAAAATTATTATAAATTGATTGGTTAAATAAATTAAAACAAAAATAATGCAATAAAAATAAAAAATAATTGAATAAAAATATTAATTTTGCTATTGGATAATAATAAAAGAAAATTATAAGATATAGAAAAGAAAAATAAAATAGTAGAAAGATATTACTGTACTTTTGAAATTAAATGCGTATTAAAAAGATAATAAAAGATAGAATGGTAATAATATATTAAATAAGTAATATTTTGAATAAAAAAAAGTGATACATTAAGAAATAATTATTATAGAAAGATATATAATATAAAAAATTATGTTTTGGTATATTATTAGATATATTAATATTTAATACTATATATTTTATTCTCGAATGATATTTGAATATATCAAATAAGTAATATTTTGAGTAAAAAAAGTAGATCATCAAGAAATAATTATTACAGATATATAATATAAAATAAAATTATACTTTGATAGATTATCAAATAAATGATAATAATTTAGCATTATATATCTCATTCTCAGTTAATATTATAATAGTTAGCAATTTGATACTATATATCTCATTTTTGATTAAAGCTTATAATAAATAACATTTAGCATTATGTGTCTTATTCTCAATTGATATTTGAATATATTATAACAGTTAGCAATTTAATATTATGTGTCTCCACTCTGACTTTCATAGAGAAATTGATCAGAAAGCTAGAGAGAGCACTATATGTCAGGTTCAGATATAACTCTTACATTGAATTTACAAATAATAATGCATAACTGAATGCATTATCAAATACACGCTATTTTTTCATCACCTATTTCATATGTGATCTGATATGCAAAATATATCATCTTGATGCATGTTGCAAAAAGCAAAATGCATATTACTCAAGAAATGCAAAACACATATCACACTGGTACATGTTTCATCAGTTCTCAAATAATGATACAATGCAATCTATATGACACTGATGTGTAAATTATAAATACATCCAGGTGTGTGGCCTAAAAAGCAAAATGCACATTACTCAAACATGATCTCAAAAGCAAATTATACATTATTCTCAATATAGTTATAATTTGAACTAAGTGAGGATACTTATAGTCTATACAAACTATAAGTATCCTTACTCTTTTACATTATAATCATCACCATAAATTGCAATAAATTTTTTATATCCGGACCTGTTAATACATTTAAAAGACTTATTATTTGAAACATATTTTAGTGATTTAATGAATTATAGTGTTTTATAAGACTTATAGTATATTAGTGATTATGTTAAATAGTGATTCATTTTTTTTGTGCAGATCCTGATATATGAGAGCCATTATAAATAGGTAAATAAATTGATTACATTTTATTTGACGATAATTTACATATTATTTCTTGTATTTCGCTGGCAAGCCTTTCTTTGTGGGCTCTAAGTCTTTAATGAATCGAAATATAAATTTAAGCTACATGGATCATGTTACATATATTTTTTAACTTTGAGGATTTGGAACGCTCTATGTCCCGCATTGTGTACTTTTTTGATCAAATAATAATAAAATCCTCCATAATAAATTTAAATTATTCTCTAATTGAACAGACACTACTATAAGTTTTTCGCTGATCATAAAATGAGGCAATTACTAAGCGAGATCACATACATAATAACGATAAAATTGTCCGAGTTTGTTTAATAATCTACCAATCAAAGACATGGACAAAAATCTAACCAATATCAAAAGTCTGATTCAAAAATGACGCTTCAACTATTCTTTCGCATCGCGACATCGCCACCAACGCCTCTCGTCCAGACCAAAATTTAATATTGTGGATCTTTTGTTCTCTTATTAAAATAGTCACTGTAAATGACGACAAGAAGTCGCACCCTACTCTTTTTACAGTACCGTAACTCGTTTGCGCGTTCCAGCATCCCTAGACCATCGACGTATGGTAACTCGTTTGATCCTTACGCGGCGAATGAAAGAGCTGGTTTGATTGACAGCTCAGACCATGTCATTGAATTATCAATATTGCCGCCTAAATGGTATATTATTAGGTGGTTTTGTGGATTTTGTTTGAGAAAAAAAGAACTAATATCGAGATTGATTTTTTATGTGATTGTTTTAGGGTTGATATTGTTGACGAAATTGACGAAGAAATTGAACAAATAAAAAATTCAAGCAAGCTTTTATTTTATTTGTTTGTTTTGTTTTGTCAATTCTCTGATTACATTAATTAAATGTGTGTATTTGAAATTTAACAAGTCATTACACTGGAAGGACTGCACAAAAAACACATCCTCCCCGGCTTCGAAGATCAATCAGAAGAAGAGGAAAAAATCGAAAAGTTAACTAGAGAGATAACAAAGGTAATGTCATGATTAGATTTATTTTTTGCTTGAAATATAATTTATAAAATTGAATATGTGGTAAAATTGTTATTCACTCAAGGTTTTCTGTTGATGGCCGAAAATTACTACTACCACCATAACTACTATAACTATTACTAGCTCTTTCGTCAATGTCATGACAAAATAAGACGAATTGCTGATGAAAGTCGACTTTCATCGATAGCTTCACAAGAGCAATCTATGAGCAAAAATATTCAGACTCGATTAGCCATGAAATTACAAGATTTATCTTCGAATTTCCGGAAGCAACAATCTTCTTATATGAAAAGTATGTAATTGTTTTTATAATTATATTCATTTTATATTATTTCATCTGATCCTAATTGAATGGTTTTTTTTTTAGAATTAAAAGTACGAGAATCAAGAAGCTCTCCCTTATTTTCACTGGATAGTAGAACGTCCTCGGATAATACAAGTGATGATTTAGAATTGGTAAGAAAACGCGACAGGTTATAATTTTTATGTAAATTCGACCTACTTTTGGTGTTGTTAGAAAAATCTTATCACTAAACCGGTTAATTTAATTAAACAAATAAAGGGTTTTACATTAGAGCAACGAGAACTAGTAGATTCAACAGAAGTAAATATCACACAGCGAGAACAAGAGATAAATGAAATCGCGAAATCGATTCAAGAGTTAGCCGATATTTTTCGCGAGCTGCAGACTTTTGTGATCGATCAGGGAACAATGTTGGATCGGATTGATTTTAATGTGGAGCAAATGTCTGTGAATGTCAAATCCGCTGTTCGTGAGTTAGATCAAGTAAGTTAATTATTTTTCATTTAATTCTTTTACACGTAAATATGATAATCAACTTAACAATTTGTTTTAAATTTCCCTCATGTATAGGGTTCGAAATACCAAAAGAAAACGAGAAATCGTAAAATAATTCTGTTGTTATTGTTATTGATTTTTGGATTATTTATAATACTTATATTTAAGCCGAGACGAACGGGTTAAAAACACATAATATTCAAATATAAACTTGGTGAATAGAGTAGACGTTCTGATTTCTGTTCATTTCTTTCTAGATTTTTTAAATATTTACTTTTAGGATTAATTGTTCACTAATTACATTAATTATTTACTAATCTTTAATTATTAATTTATTGTATAATATTTATTCTCGTCATTTGTATATTAGATTCTCGGGATAATGTAATGAATGGTGCAATAGGAAATATGCAAAATGATGACGATGTTCATGGAATGAATAATATATATTACAAAATTGTATTAATTTATCTTTTTGCTACGATTTCTCTACACGTATCGCGTTACAAGATCATCTTGGTTCGTTATTTCTTTCTTGTTAAGTAGTGGCTGTTGTTCTTCGTCGTCGTCGTCGTCTCGTGTACTTATGTCATTAATATCATTAATATCATTAATATTAGAAGTAGATGATGTAGCGTTTACCACAACTTCGTCATCGAGTGATTTAGGTGGATGTCGATAGAGGATATAGTGTTGTATCATAAATACCAAGTCGAATAGGATGCTTAGAAAACCTAGACCACTATAATAAATTAATATATGATTTTAATTAACGTTAATATTCGTAATCGATTGTAAAAAGCTCGGCAAAAAAGTATAAAACTTACAATTTGACGGGATCCTATAATGGTAAAAATAATCGGGTAGAAGTGAAAAATTAAAAAATGAATATCGTCGAGAATAGGCATACAAAAATGGTAATTTATGTCGTCGGATCTTTTTTCTTACCCCTGATATGCCACTCCAATCATTTGCGAGGTACGCGTCAAATATCAGTTGAAATATAGATAATGCGCCACCTGTAAAATCCTATTGAAAAATTTTAGATCAATAAAATAAATTAATCACCAAATGATCCAAATAAGTCAATTAGAAGAGACCATGATTACCAATAGAATATTGTGAATGCTCCATCCGGATGTGCTTTTTCGCTTGTAATTTAGATGCGCCTATTTAACAATTTTTTCCGAAAACAAAGGAAGCTTAGTGAATAGATGAAATAAAAATTACAATCAACAATATGTAAAATTCTCACCTGTGGCAAATATTTAATTAAACTAATACACAGTTTGATATAACTTAAAAAATAAAATAAATCAATCCATTCTTTCCCGTTGCCACTGGCAAGCACTCGAATAAATAACCCGAGTATTCCGAACAATGATAGAATTATAAAAGATTGAGCAACCGGAGAAATTCGTTGGTATTTATCTCGCTGATTTACGATTTAATTCATCGTAATAACAATAACAGAAATTAATGAGATGCAAACAATCTGTTAATACTATTAAGATATACATACCTTATATATGAACGACTGATATAAGGTAAAAGCACTGACACCAAGAGCATGCACCGCAAAAAATACGTCGTTGGCACGTACAAGGTTATCGTTTCCCCCATTTCTTTGGCGATATTCTTGGCGAATTTCTTCTGATGTGAAAAATGCGATATTGAATGCCTAATTATAATTTAGTTAACATTAAATTCATTTATTCATTTATTTGTTCAGATAATATTTATATTAAATTCATTTATTTGTTCATTACCGAGTAACACGTGAATCCGTATATATTGTACCATAGAAAATCTATTGATAATCCTTGAACACTATATATATCGATATATAATAAATTAGTCATCTTCCATTGTTATTACCGTTACACGATCAATGATTTCATTGATCTACCTTTTTCGTTTCCAATTGAGAAACACCTTAACGTTAACAATGCTAAGTTAATAAAAATGCGAAACGCGTATTTTTTAGGCAAATATAAGATCACGTCTCCGTACCTGTGGGTAAAAACTTATTGACCATGATATAAAGTAAGCCTATTCGATAATATAAATCGTTGACAATGAGGCCAATTACACAATATCGAAATATTTCAAAAAGTTAATTAAATTTGATATTCACCCAACCAATAAATCTTGAAAATAGCTCGCCGAAATTGGCGATTGTATTTGTATTATCATTGTTATAAATAGCATTGATAAAAAGTCCGTTTACTTGTTGCATTTTTAAAAATTCGTATATTTATGTATGTATCTCTGCAATTTGTGAGTGTGAGTTTGCTAATGAATAAGTGGTAATTTCTATACATACAAAACAAAAAATTTCAATTGTTCGAATTTGTTCAATTAAATTAAATTAAATTAAATTGTAATAAGAATATTTTAGTAATCGTATACGGAAATACAAAAAATTGTTTCGCGTGTTATTTCTTGTCTATTTATGCTTTTTTGTTGCTTAGCATTACAAATTAAATTTACGCGATTGTTCGAATTGATAATCACGGATATTATTGGTGAATTATGATGCCATTTTGACATGAAATTATCCTAAATATGGTTCAAATTAGCAGTAACGGTAAAATAAGGGATTGGCATATTACATGTAGTAAGATTGAAGGATAGATTTTATCCTTGATAAAATATTGCGTTATTTCCGAATAAACAGAAATTATGGCGCAACCCGCACGACTTTCTGCAATGTCTTCCACGACTGACACACGTCATCACTCTTCAAAACGTACTTCAATAGTAGATAGAAATTTGAATAAAACGAAAGCAGCAGAGGTTGTTGTTTAATTCGCACGTTGATTTTAGAATTTTGCCTTTAGTGCAATTGTTTTCTATTCATGATTGTTTAATTTTATCAGATTGGATTAAGCGCATTTGCATTTCTGTTTTCTGAAATGCTGCAGTATGCGCAAAAACGTGTTCACGGAATACAGGATTTAGAAAGAAAGTAAGTATTTACTTCAAAAATATCATAGTAAAAAGTAATATAATAATAACCGGTTTCCCTTTTGTATGAGCTCAGATTGAATGATTTTGGATACCGAGTAGGTACACGGCTACTCGAACTTATAGTATGGCGTGAAAAAAATAGTAAGCGTGAAACGCGTGTAATTGGCATTCTATCGTTTATCAATACGACTGTGTGGAAAACTTTGTTTGGAAAACAGGCAGACTCGTTAGAAAAAAGTACCGAAAATGACGATGAATGTAATGTAGATTATTTTCAATTTACTATTCAATCTCATATGCCTTCACTTAATTATCCTTGTTCTAGATATGATATCTGACAATGATCCGCTGATAACAAAGTTCATATCAGTCCCGAAAGAATTGTCGCAGTTGAATTGTAATGCTTTCCTGGCTGGCATTGTGGAAGCCATTTTGGATGGTACCCAGTTTGTGAGTATCATGTCATTCCCCTCTACACACACCTCCCTATAGTTACGCCATCACCGATGTGACTATAGGGGGTGTGTATAAAGGAGGCATAAAGTTCTTTTTTTTAATTAATTATCGAATTTTTTTAATAGCCATCACGTGTCACGGCACATTCGAATCCAATAGATGGATTCCCATTAAGAGCAACTATACTCGTTAAACTAGATCGTGAAATTTTGCAAAGAGAAGAGCAGCTTCGCTAATGTTCATCACTGGTAACCAAAATAATTTTTGTTATTCTGGCGAATGTTGTAAAATTTCATGATTGCTCTTAAGAACACTTCAAAAAATAACTTTATTTTACCAACAAGAAAACCATGCCAAAATGACCTTAGTAAAATGTTAAAGTTAAATATTTACACCTCTACGTCTGAATCCAAATAACTTGATATCTTTACAATTACTATTTCTTTCTTCGAGCCGCAATTTTGGCACGTTTTCCTTGACCTTTTAAAGAAGTATTTAAAATATAAAATCTCGTTCAATAAAACCAAGAAACAAACTTAAAAATCAAATATATGAAAAAATGTACCCTTCTTCGGCGGCCCTTTGCCCCTTTTACGTTTCTGTGCAACATCTAACAGCCGCTGTTTTTCCCTTGCATCCACAAGCTCAACTTCAGGCAACGCGAGCCGTAATCTTCTGAATGGTATCAATTGTCTTGGGTACCATTTTATTATCGCGGGTCCGATTAAATGTTTCCGTAGAACTTTTCCGCCGACGCGTTGGCCGGTAGGGTTGTATGCGCGATGGAATATGCTTGCGGTAAGTTGTGCGAGGTTTAGGAGGCGGTCTTTGGGGGGAACTGGTGTAAATGACATTACATTTATATCGATATACAGTGGCCCGCATAAATAACGCACCACTTGCATCGCTAATTGTTGATCACTTGATTTTCACTCACATGCAATCCGATGAACATCTAATACTGTGCTACAAATGGTAAATAAACAGACATATTGTTATGTCAGTTCGTCTATAATCCATGTCGATCTGCCAAAGTGGTGGTGCGTTTTTTTTGCCATTTTTATCAAAAATGTAAAAAATATGCTTTAACTTTTTTTTGAACATATAAAATTAAAATAATAAAAAAGATTCCTTAGCATGTATTCTATTAGAATTAACTATTTTTTTTAAAGATTTTAAATATATTAACTGATAAAAAGTGTAAGAATACTTATTAATCATTAATAATAGTTTTTTGAGTATTTTATTATTGTTGTGATATGAATTTTAACATATCACATGATTTGTTATAATTTATTCTGATTGGATAATTAATTTACATGTGATTTGTGAATCATATCCATATTTATTTCATATTATCTGTATTTTTCTCATACTATTTTATTTTATTTTTAATATATTTCATACTATTTCATTTTTATTTCATATTATTTATTTTACTTTAATTATAATTCATACTAATTATATTTAATTCATATTATTAGTAGTATTATTATGATATAAATATTTAGTTCTTATTTTATTGGTTAATTCATATTATAAATTTAATTGGATAATATTCTATTATATTTTATTGGATAATTATTTTTAGATAGCTATTATTTTATTGGACAATTATATATTAGATATTATTGGTTCTTAGATTTGTATTAGCGTTAGCAACGTCAGCAACATCAGCAATACCAGCAATATCAGCAATATTAACAACACTTGTATTTAATTAAATTAGTAATAACAATAATAAAATCAGTTTATTGTATAACATGTAAGTGAAAATAACATAATTATATTATTTTCACTTTGTCTAGGTTATTCCCACTCAGGTATGTGTTGTGATGACAGAAATGCGACATCGTTGTTATGGTCCGGTGTTACGATTGGAAATTCCTATAATTTCCATAATTTCCATAATTTTTATAATTTTCATAATTTCCATAATTTTCATAATTACCATAATTTTCATAATTCTTATAATCTTTATAAACTCTAAAAACATCATAAA